GCTTTATTCAAGAACAATTTTTTTTTAAAGTTTTAAGTTGAGTGGTTCCTTTGAGATTATCTATCAATCAATAAAAATTATTTCTATGATGAAATAATATCACTTTATATTAATTGATTTTTAAGTCTTGTAATAATTTGATATTTCTTTGAAAGAATATAAAGCGAATAAAATATTTCCCTTTCACAAACAGTAAAACAGTACCTTTACAAATGTTACGCCCAAAATTGTAAACCTTATTTTCAAAAAAAATCGACCAATTGGAATTAATAAATAGTACGTTAAGTAAACAATTTTCTTTGTTCTTTCGATTACATTCTATTACCTGATTTATGAAAGCGCGAAAATCCATGGTGATCTAAACAAAATTAATTATTTTTTGATTGTTTTTACAATTGATTTCATAATGTACGAAGCCTAATCATTTTTACTCATTGCCGAGAGATACTTAACACATTCTGTAAAACTGGGTAAAGCTTAGAATAGGATAAAAAGTATATCATTGGATTTCGGTGCATCTGTGCCGAGTACAATGGTAATGTATAGTTTTCGTTTTATTTTGAACCATACCGAATATTATCGAGTCTCTGTCTCTCGGCAAGGAGTAAAAACTGACTTAGTGTTCCGTACATTATAAAATCAGCTGTAAATTTTGATTCACGATAATTGTACTTATTATTCCTATTGTATAAATTTGAATACATAATTCTAGGTTCTTTATCGTAACTCCTTTGAGTGATATTTTATATATTTTATATGATAAATAAGTAAATGAGGTAAAAATAAGTAACCAAATTAATTTAAAAAGTATTTTTGGCCTTTTTTGTGTAATTAAAATCGTTATCTCGTTATTGGGTTGCAGACATTTCTTATGATAAGGGTAACTACCAGTTACGTCTTGACTTATGTTAGTTTAAAATAAAAAATTTGGCACGTGATTTAAAAGCACGCAAACACTCTGCAAACTGCGTATTTTACTCGTCGAATCTTAATCATTGTTATAGGATCGCTAGACATATCGCTCGTAGAGCAGGAGCTTATTGCTACTCGATTCTTCTCAATGGAATAAATTCAACAAGTTATACTAGAGTTCATTGGATGGAAATATAGCATATTGCAAAAAATAACAGTAGATGTAATGGGATCATCGATTATATTGACTTGTGAATGAATTACAAACTTATTCTATTAAGGATTTTATAATTAAATTAATTTTTTATTCGACCAAACAATTCTGGAATCAGGTTGTGTCACGGAACGTTAAATCATAAAGAATAAAATAATTTTTTATTTATATTATACCTTTTATGGGTGTAATCGATAAAGCTTACTTTTTTTATTTGGAATTAATAAATTTATCTACCAATCTTTCAGTTCATGGATTATCTTGATTGACTATTTTTTTTTTATAAAAAGATTCAACTGTAAAACAATGGGGTACATTTAATATAAAAATCACAGATGGGAGATAATCAATTTTTTTTACGCCAACATTTCTATTTTAGTATCTATATACTTTCAAATTTGGTAAGGCTTAAATTATTTTTTTTTCGCATGAAAGAAATAAACGTATTTTTGTATTTGTAAACATGTTATCATTCAAAGAAATTCCAAATGAGTTTTACGTTAAGGAATAGTTAGAAGCGGGAAGGTGCAACTGGCGTTTTCCCCTTCTTTTATTGAAAGATTCCGGTGTTTCAAATAAAATTTTCTTATATTGTCGATTATATTGAGCCAATCAATTCCAAAATTAGATGTTTATTTCCTGATTTGGTAAATTTTTTAATTTTTTAATATTCTATATTTATATATTTTTGACGACCAAACGATTTGCGATCACGATATACAGATAAACGGATAAACGGAACAAAATATTTTTCTAGTAACAAACATGATTTAAATTAGATGTTCTGCAAAAGCATGTCAACCATGCGTATATCACGAGATCGTGAGTCAAAACTCCTGTTATAATTCTCGGTACACAAATTACACTGGTTTTTTTCTAAACAGATAAACAGATAAACAGAGTTAAATGTTATTTTCATCATTATTAATCAATTGTACTACAGTATATCGTTGCGCAGAATCAGCCACAAAACTCAGATAGCGTATGCAATTAATGTTCCACGTACTTCAATTGTCATAAATAAATAAAATTCAAATATTGAATTTTAGATACAATCCGTGATTATTGTTATCGCTCGGTAAATGCTATAACAGTAAATAACATTTACTTTTTCTTATCAAATTCGGAATAAAAATCATTCAATATTCTTCACGGTAGCCCTTGAGAAATTCTCCGACAGAATTCGCCTTAGACCTTTCAAGACATATTTCTTTCTTCATCTGCTTTATTTCCTTTCTATGGATTAGTCTAGGTTATAGAGTTGGACCATTCACCATTCAACTTGGCAAAGGCCCGCCTAATTAACTTTTAAAATAGAATTTACGTATTACTTTTAGTTTATCGCTAGATATTTTTCTATGTACCGTATATTGCGGGTCACAAATTTCAGAGGCACCACCATGAATTGTTTATGATAAAATGCTTATATAGTAACCAGAAAAATGTTTTTTCCTGAAACATAATAAAATTAATAAATTCGGGATAAAAATTTAACGAAAATACGTACTGTAGATAAATATCCCCTTGTTCTTTTATTATTGTCATGCGGACTAGGCTAAATCGAAAATAAAATATGATCATTATCTTTTTTTTATATAAATAAAGCTTCGATTTTTTTTTATTTCTTATAATGTGTGATACCAAATGTTAATAACCATTGTTTACATCGTTCAAAGAAAAAAAAAAAAATCAAAGTTTGCAAAGATGAAAATTTTTTTTGCGTTAATGACCCCAAAAGAAATATAGCACATATTTCATTTTATGAATGAAAAATAAAGTTTGAAACTTTCTATATAGTACTGTATGTATATATATGTACTTTATAACAATAGAATTCATTTTGATTTTATATCCATCGAAAATAATTGACTATTAAATTAATAAAACCAAATCTTTTTCAGATTTTCAGATTTGCATTATTATACATATAGTGATGTCTTCACGCATTATAATCAATTTATTTTTAGTAATCAAATAAAGGATTTAAATGTTGAACGGAGATAATGACAGAATTATTCCGTTTTCATAGATTTTAAGGACGTCCTTTAAAGCTTATTAATAAAAAATCTAATTTTAGTAAAGAAACCAATCAAATAATAAAATAGATTGATTGAAATTATTAAAAAGGTCTTGTGCGACCTAATACTCGTTATTGATCGGTTATTTAATTTCTTATTTTCCTTTTTTGTTACTATGGCGGGTTATATGTACATTTTATTAAAAAATTATTATTTTTATCAGTGATTAAAAAGTATAATTATGGAATTTGTTTTTTGCTCACTCGCGCAAAATATACATGGAAGCGAATTAGGTTCAAGCCATGTCGAGATATTACGGCATATTACGGCATATTACACCAATCCGGAAAAACACCGGTGTAATACTGGTGTAATACTATTTTAATATAAAAAATTTAAAACTGATGAATTAAAAATACTCACATATTCATTCTGTTACCAATATATAATTCAATGTTGAATTATATAAGTTATTCATATATATATATATGATAATGTATACATAGTAGTAATAACTGCAATGAATAAAGCATGACAAAATAAGACGATAACTTAAATTTTAACTATTTAAAATTCCGCTTATTTTGGAGAAAATGTCAAAAAACCACTAACTCTGGTAAGATGACAATCACCAGCGGTGATATTCACTTTATTTTTCTATTTTGAATTACAAGTTAACTAATCAAAATCGCTAAATTAGTATATACGTTGACGCTTTATACGTTACACAGAGAAATTTTATTCGTTCCCGAACAATGATTTTTTATCTCGTGATTAAACGTGAAATTTTCGTTATTTTGAAAGGTTTGCATCATCATTAATGTTAAACAATGCACCTTTAATTGATCATAAAAGGAATATTCTTATTGGAGTATGAAGTTTTTTTTATTTATCGCCTTTTTCGAATTAGTGCGATCCCTACATAACACCCCCTAAAAAAAAATTGATTTCCAAAACTTTGCGATTACCGGCAATTTTATTGTTACCATTAGATGAGAAAAAACAGAGACCTTTTTATATTTATTTTTTTTATACAATTTATTTTCTACAAAATAATACAGCAGGCGTAGGGTCTAAATGAAATTAATAAAGATTTCAGAATTGCAAAGTTACGATTGGCTGCCAATCGACACCAATCAGAATAAATATTCAGAACTAAATCATAATCACACTTCCTTATAAGCATATTTACGTTATAAATAAATTACCTATTAAATAATCAACGTTCGGATAGTTAGGATAGGAATGACCGAAAATGAAATATAATTAATAAGATAAATTAATTGCCAATCCGTCTAAAATCGGCACTGCGTTACTAATAAAATTCGGGGATAACAACAACTTTGCAGAAACCTCTGGTTTTCATAAAATATGTTAGCGATATTTTTAAAATATACCAGACATATGATATTCCTATTTATGTTATCTCTGTTTTAACTATATGCTGACAATATGTTGAACATATAATATAAAAATCTTATTTTTATATAGTAACAATATGTTAGAGACATGGTAAAAATATTATTTTGAATGTTAAATTAATATGGTTATTATATGCCAAATATGTGTCAGAGATATGATAAAAATATTATTTTAAATATTAATTTTATATAGCTATCATATGGTAAATATGTATTAATAATATAATAGAAATTCAATTTTATATAACAATCATATATTGAAAATATATCGAAGATAGAGTAATAATAACAAAATAATATAATAGCCATGTTTCAAAAATAATAAAATAATATAATGATTATATGATAAAAATTTCGATTTAAATTAAAATTTTCTCCAATAAATTCATGTACGACTTGATTTTTAAAAGAATTTCTCTAGTGTAATATAATAACATAATGTTAGCAATATAGTTGTCTAGCTGATTAAACTGCAGTATAATAAAAACTATTTAAAACATAACTTCGATTAGCCTCATTATGCTTGGTGCTACATGTACTTTTACATTCGTGAATAAAGTGAACTTGAGACATGTGATCAATAAAATTGATTGGAAAGATTCAAAACCAACGTGATTCTTCCAGCTTCTGATTATAAAGTGGGCATCTTGATATAGAATCAACAGAGTTCATCACCTGAAACTAATTAAATAAAAAAGTGTAAAATTTGACCATTGTTTGCTTTATGTTGAATAATAAATTCAATTTTAGCATATGCGACACCTTTAGATTCTTCATTTAGATCTACAATATCTACAATATCACCAATATGAAGTTTTAATCGTACAGGTTCTTGATTGTCTTTAATAACCGTGTATGAAATTGAACTATAAAATTCTATGTTTTTGTTCAATATTGCTGCACTTTAATTTAAATAATCTGTATGATGATTATCAGCCAACTTTTTTGATACGTCTTGACACTCAACTTTTTTGGCACTCCATTAATCTTTAATAGCCACCTCCATTTCCAGAAAGAATCGCCAAAACCTAAAAAAGAAGAACCCAAAGAATAAACTGTTAATAAGTTTGTTAAAATAAAATTATTAAGAAAAAAAATTGAAAAAACTTACCGAAATTTCATATCCAAAGATTTGGGAGAACGCCCTAAAAAACATAAAACGAACTGTTAGAAACCATCTGTTAAAAGGTGAAAAAAAAATTTGAAAATATACACTTACCAAAATCCAATATCTAGAGAAATCCGAAAAACTGTAAAAAAAAAAAGAAATGTGTTAGAAACTGTTCGTTAAAAGATGGAAGAGTTAAATAAAAAAATAGTCAAAAACTTACCAGAATGTAACCTCTAAAAAAACCTGAAAGAACCATCTAAAAAAAGAGAATAAATGAACAGTTAGTAACTATTTTTTAAACTAAAAAAGAAAAAAATAAAATTTTACTTGCCGAATTCCCACGTCCAAAGAGACTTAAAGAATTACCTAAAAAAAAAGAACTAAACTGTTAAAATGGTTCGTTAAAATATTAAAAAAAAAATGAAAAATATATTTACTGAAATCTGGTTTCTTAAAAAAAAATAAGTTTTGCAAAAAATTGCGAAACTTTCTGTATTCAGAAAAAAATGGAACCTACAAAAGAAATGAGAAAAGTTAGTAACTTTTCTCAAAAAAAAAGTAAAAATTTGTTCGTAAAACTTACTATATCAAAATCGAACCCAAAAAGGAAAAAGCTTATTTTTAGTTTAAATAAATAACTGCGGCTGTGGCTGCGGTTATATTAATATTGTATCACATGATTCATGTGATATATAATTTTATATAAAATAGTATAAATAGGAGGCTTCCCCGAAATAAATTTTTTTTTTTTTATATTTTTAATGATATTTATATATGTGCTCATATATATACACACATATATATATCTAATACAAATAATATAAATAATGATATGTATTCGTCAGAGAATACATTATCAGTTATACTAAATATAATATCAAGTCTATTAAGAAGCTTAATAACGTTGCCTTGAGACTTTCATTAAATTAGAATAAACCATATACTTTAATTAATTAACTCATTTTATTCTTTATGATCTCTGTATAATATTATATATTTTATACATTTTAAATGTTTATTTTACATATTCTTTACAATACACTTTTAGATTGAAACAATTATATTTTATTATTCTTTTAAATCATTTCATCTCTTTTTTAAAAAAAGTATTTAAAGCTAATCTTTGATGAGATTAGACAGGAACCACTAGAGTAAGAAGCTTAAATTTTTGGATTTCCGATGAATATTTGCTCTTTAGATGGATCTAGACGCGTAAAATTTGGTTGATAATTGATATATTGATGATTGTATGGCTGTAATTTTTCCGGGATTGTCTGTACAAGTCTGAAGTGTGAACTGTTATCTCAATTGATACCATGTGATTATAAACAAAATGAAAGTATTTTATTTTTTTTTATTTTAATTTAATGAATGTTTACTAATTGCTCATTTAATTTTTTTTTCTTTTTAGAGATTCTTTGAAGTACCAGGTCATAAGCTATCCCACCAGCTGGCAAAGTGTATGAAATTTCTTTAATTCACAAAGAAAGCCTTGCTAAAGTCATCTTTAGTGTAGGTCTAGTAATACATTGCCTTAATTGAGCGTGGCTACGAAGTTTATGATTCTTAAGTAAGCTCCAACTATATATATATATCAATTTTATTTCAAATATTTTCATTAATGGATTAATAAAAAAAATTGTTGTATTAACATTCTTATTGCCAAGTTGGAGTGAAAGGATCAAAAGGATATAAATTTTTTTTTTTTTAAAAAAAAAATAGTTGTATTATTTAAAATTAAAAAAAATTGATTTCATACAGCCTTCATATAGCCAATATAGGACAGCCGAGACGAAAAAAAATGCCACTAGCGATCGACCTTATAGTCATATAGTCACATGCTAGAAGCGTTAAAGTTGCTAGTTATTCATATATCAACAACATATTCAAAATATATTATTCGTATATCAACAACAGCATTCAAAATATGTTATTCATATAACAACAGCATATTTGAAATATATTAACAACGTATTCAAAATATTCACTATATCATTAGTTTAAGTACATGTTTTAACATACTTTGAAAATATTGTAAAAATTTTTTATTCATATTACAAAATTATTTACTACATTATATTAGTTTAAGTTTAAATTTTAACATATATTAAAAATATTATAACATTATTTTATTAATATTACAAACATATTGCGTATATTAAAATATGTAGAACATTTATATCTGTCTCTTATACACATCTAGATGTGTATAAGAGACAGCATATATATACCATCTGTTAGTAACATGTAGTGATTATGTCTAACATATTTTGCGAAAACCAGGGGTTTCTGCAAAGAATAATAGCGTTTTTTACATCTCACGCGGGGATAAACTACTTAAATAACCGAAAATTTCCCAAAAATTTAGGAAAATTCTGGGGTTTCCAGATTTGTGAAAACTAATTTCCTTAGTGACGTACAGGGGGATCGCACTAATTTGAAAACAACGATAAATTACTACTAGGGTTTTATTTTAGCTTCGCAATAAAAAAAAATTTTTTTTTATATTATTATTTTAAAGACAATAAAATAAAAAACTATCTTAATTGCTTTATTTAAATTCTATTAAATTAAATTATTAATTAATATTTTTAACATTTTAAATTTACTTTAATTTACTTTTTTCTATTATATCAGTAAAAAATGGTTCAGTTTTAGAAAAAAGAAAAGTCAAAAAAAAAAAATAAATAAATAAATATTGGAAAAAAAATTTCAGTTTTAACCAATTAAAAAAATTTGGTTATAAAAATTGAAAAAAAAAAAAAAAATTAAAAAAATTCGGTAATACAATCGGTGATACAATAATCTGCTGCAGCTTTGATCACAGACTGGAAATAAATTATTTTATGTAAATAATAAACAACGCATCGCCACCAAAAAATGGGGACCGGATTTATTTGCTGGTCATACATGCCAGTTACATGTGATTTTGGATAATTGTGTTAAATTATCGATTTAAAATCATATATTTTTTTCTTTTTCTTCATTATAATTTTTTTATAAACTCATATTTAAAAGAAGAGTCACTTAATTAGCCAAAATGATATTTGTGGTTAAAAAATGTTCGTTCAAATTTTAAATCATTAGAGAAAATGAAAGATATTATAGTGCTAAAATCGTCAAACTATACCAAGAACCTGAAAAGGTTCTAATAAGAATACAATATATTTGGAATAATTATCTTAGAAACATAAAGAACATAAATTTAAAATATTGCACATCGTAGTATATTATTCAAAACTATAACTATAAAAAAATTCTTTAAATATTTATATTTGTAAAAAATAATAATAAAATTCAATAACCTTAAAGTTTTATATAACGTACCATTTTTCAGGGTCGTTGTAAATAATACCAAATATCATATGACAATAAAATAAAATAATTACTCTTCATTCCACAAATTTAAATTATAAATAAAGTACATTAATGCTAAATTACTATTTCTCAAATACAACTATAAATTGACTCTTAATATGTAATACAAGCAATATACTGTAGTTAAATTAATAGTTAAGTTGAAAAATATTATTGGTCCACAACAATCCATTCTTGCATAAGCCTCATTAGTCTTAGCCTCAATTATTTATTTGTTTATTTATATTTAACAGCAAAATGCTAAGCTTTAGTTGGGTTTTGATAAAAATGCATATGATAACTTTTGTTATAAAGTTTAATTATTATTCTAAAAAATAGTAATACTTATTAAATATTTTATATTATAAAAAAAACTTTCCATAATACACAGTGAAATTCGATAAACCGGATCGTTTTATCGGGATATCCGTATAGCTTCGATACTATATTGAAAATCTATTATACTGGATTTTTAAAAAATTTTCATGCTAATAAAACAATATATACTATATTTTAGTTTTTACATATTTTAATAGTAATATATAACTTCACCAGAATTAAAATTTATATAATTCTGACCAAAATTAAGATTTACCGCATCACGTTACTTAAATTTTATTTGTCTATGGTCACGTGATCCGGTTTATCGAATCATTTTTACCTATAGCTTGTTGGAAAATTGACTAGTAAACTCCGGCATATCGAAACTATTTTAATATACGTGATTTGGTTCCAGCAAAAAAAGCCTGGTTTAGGCCCAAATCCGGTTTATCGAAAACCCGGTTTATCGAATTTCACTGTGTACCTCCAGATGATTTGCGCCTCATTTGATATTTTCACAGCCCACAAAGAAGCCCATCCAAGCCCCTGTTGTTGTACAACCAATTATATGTAACCATAATGAATAAAAATTGTTATAAATAAAACATAATATTAAAATTTTATTGTTATCATTATAATTTTTAATTATATAACTGATAATTTTTTCAAATTAAAAAACCTTTATTTTTACTCACATAAAATATATTAATGAAATTTGCAAAGCTAATTTTGTTACCAAACTAAATGCTAAATATAAATAGTAACTTCAGAAAGATCCTATAGCTCCACTTTTCAAATCTTAACAATTGCTTTAAAATGCATTAAAATCAATAATTCCAGGCAAAAGTTCAACTTACCTAGCAACTCATTCCCAAAGTGCAAAACAATAAAGACAACTTCTAGGATAATTCAAATAGCAACTCAATTTCAACCCATTCTCCATACATTTATTTTCAATGGTATTAATATATTTTATGAAAAAATTCTTGAAAAAGTTAATGTAGATGATTATCATTGGTACTAGTACAGGGGAAAGTGTACATATACATGGAATTGGAAAGAAGAAAAATGCACCTAAAATCAACTTGAATACATTGAAAGAAAATGAAGATGAAATAAAAAGAAGGATTCCTATTAGACGTAATTATTTTATTTAATTCTCCACGTTTAGATGAGCGCTGATGGAGTATCTGGAGAAACATTTTTCCGAAAAATCATGTGACTTATTAGTTTATGATATTCCGTGATTTATTAAGTTATTACATAGTTTGGTCTTTGGGTGACGTGATTAAGCCCTATTTCAATTCGCATCATCATTTTGACTTGGCCTAGTTTAATAACAATAAATAACAAATTGAAAATATTTTATGTAATTGCATTAAGTCTGAAAACAATTTAAGCAAGTGTAAGATATTTTATTTTAAAATTGCATGATAAAAGTCATTTACAAAATTTTTGGAAAGGTTAAAAATGAAAGTATCTGTCATCTCGAAGGAAAACATGATCAGGATCTTATTAATTCATTAAAAATTATAAGCAAATGGATTATTTAAACTAATAATATACAATTACGAAAAAAAATTTTAAATTTTATTACTCCAGTCTTACAAATTCTTGATTTTGAAAATAATGAACAAATAAATGAACAAATAAATGAACAGACCAACACGACCACTGTACCATCTCAAACATTGAGTTTATTTTCTATACAAACAATATTTAAATTATATAAAATTAAAATAAATGATTCAATTTTAACGCCCGAAGAATGTTCACAAATGGGTTGCAATTTAGCTAGAGATCTTAAAAAAACTTGTAAAGAATTTCGGGATTTTCAAGCATTAGAATCACCTAATTCTTTAAATGAATATCAATAGATGAATGATGAAGAATTAATTATATTAAATTTACAAGTAAGATATAACAAAATTGGAGCTTAAATATAAATAAGGAACAAAAGAAATATAAGATTATTAATGAAGTTTTGAAAAGAAGTATTGATTTCCTGGACTTTAATGTAATAAAATTTATATTTTAATTAATATTTACATCACATGCTACTGTAATGATGTGTTTCAATATATTAAATATACTAGACAGCAACTGACAAAATTATTTAAAATTTTAAAATTATTTAATATATCTTTTCTTTGTAATCAGTTTAAAATGTAGATAAAAAATTTTTTTAGCCGAGCCCGATTTGTTCAATCACCAAGAGTTCTATGCTTAGTGGCAAATGTTGGCATTTTAATTTGCTGAAAAATTAATAATTCAAGAAAAATGAAGTTGTATGTTCAATTCATACCGATGAGGATGACTATGAAATTAACTTTATTAGTTAAAAGTCGTTCGATAATTTAAAGTATTGTTAGTTTATTGATTTTTTTTTTTTTTGAAAAAAAAAAATTTATTGAATGCTCGAATCTAAACTTTAGCTAATAAAGTGACTTTAATTTGTACTAACATACAATATTAATCTTTTTTCTTAATATAATAGAAGAATCAAAATCAATATTAAAAAATTTAAATTAACTCATTAAAAGTTTATTACAAAGAAAAAAAAAGAAAAAGTTAAAAGCTATACTATATATTTACTAATATGATAACTTAGGGATTAGAATCGATTCCCATTATTAGAATCGATTCTAAAATCGATTAATCGCGATTAATCGTTTCGCAAATACCGATTTTTTTTTATACTATTTATAATAGGTGTGTTTAAACACATATCACGTGATTACAAAAAATTACAGTGATCGACGAACAAATTTCCTTTTTCGGAAATTTGTACAACCTTGTGCGATAGCAACCTGAATTTTATTGGGAGATAAAATTTCCTTTTTAGGAAGTTTGTGTTCCGTCACGTGATTCGCGGGCGGAATTATGAATTTGGCCAAAATTAACTATTATGAACAAATAATAATTTACGGTCAAATTAACGAAACTGCGCCACAATAAGTAGATTCGATTTTTATTCGAGATTCGATTTAAAATCGATTCTTATCGATTTTCGATAGTTTCGATTTTAATCGAATCTTTTCCGATCCCTATGATAACTTAAAATTTATCAGATAACAAATTCTAAGTAATCTTATTGTTCTAATCTTAATATCGAAAATATATCATTTGCTGATTTGTTACATTGCCTTATAAGTTTCTTAATAATTTTAACGTAAAATCAATATTAACAAGGGATTATTGTAAAAAATTTGACAATCTAAACTATTTATTATAAATAAAAACAAATTTTTTAACATAGAACGCGTGCATAGTATCTTATTATACTTTCATGATGAAGCAATTCGGATGATATTTTAACCCCCCTAAAATAATCATGTACAACGAATGGAATAATCTGTATGATTTCATGATTTATAATGTTTATGACATAAATTTACGTTAATAACGTTAAGATACTTAATTTTCGCCACGGTAATAAATATATTTAATAATTTGAATAAATTTATTAAAATTATTTAAATTACAAACTAAGAATTTTGTACTCTAGTCTTAGTGTTTAAATAATCCAAGATAAAAAAATCAATGATAATAATTTAAAATATAAAAAAAACATTGTTAAATGATTCAAAATCCATCTAAAGTCAAATTATAAATTAATTATTTGCTTTAAAAAAGAAATCTTATTTATTTAAGAACTTACCATCAGGAATTTCCAATTCATCTTGTTCTTTTGAATGAAGATTTGGATTATTATATACTTCATCTTCATCTGTAAGAAATAAAGTAATTAAATTAAAAAATAATAAAAAATCAAATTAAAAATTCGCATACCATCAATATCACCAATATTTTGTCTTTTCATTTTTTGTTGAATTATTTCTTTTTCATTATCTAAATTTTTAAATTTAAGCTACATTAAATAAACATATTGGCAAAATAATTTTTACTTTTTTTGCTTACCATCAATATTATTAATATCTTTCCTTTCCATTTGTTGTTGAATTATTTCTTTTTCGTCATATATTATTTTTAAAATAAAAGTCACGTTATTTAATAAATGAAACTGATACAATGAATATTTTTTACTTCATTTATTTACTTACCATTTGAATTTATTTGTAACTTTATAAATTCTTTGGGTAATTTTTCACTATCACCTAAAATTGAGAACATAGAAATAGATTTAATATTTAATCTATTATTTCAAACAAATCACCTTTAATTATACTTGATGATTTCTTACTATACTGCTTATTTGATCCATTAAAGTCGTTAACTAAAATAAATATTAATTATTAAGCATTATTATGTAATACTTCAACGCTATGGCATTAAATACAGTACTTACTATTGTTAGGAATGTTAAAATCATACAATTTACTATGAAACCCTATTAGTAGTAAAATAAAAACTAAATTATTATAGCAACCAAAAAATGGTAGAAATTATTATTTATATGGCTATACCTTCTTGTTCTTCTATTAAAATAAAAAGATAACATTAATAATGTATTTTAAATAAAATATTCATTAATAAAATATTATACACTTATACCTTCTGTTGCATTTTTTGGTTCAGGTAGATTTTCAAAGTTGTGAATTTTACTTGTAAATAATCTGTTACTCGTATAATTTTCTTCTACTTTATTCACTTCTAAATTATCTATTTCTGATTTGAATAATTCATCTGTCATATTTTGATAATCTAAATTAATTCTTATCATTTTTTCCCCAAGTGCAATAACGTCAGGTCTTTTTAATGGATCGGCATCCCAACATTCTTTCATTAAATTTTTATATTCTAATGGAGTCCCCGGCACAATTTTTGGTCTTATACCGTTAATAATATTCATTACAATATCATTTTCATGTTCATAATTTATAAATGGTGTTTGTCCAGATGAAATTTCCCACATAAGAATTGCAATACTATAAATATCAGATGCAAAAGTATGTTCTCTTCCAACAATAACTTCGGGTGCTATGTAAGGAAGATTTCCATATATACTTGTTGAACATTTATCAGCAGGTCCACAAAATCCAAGATCACTAATATACCAGGAATCATTAAATTGTGAATATAATATATTTCCAGAATGTAAATCTCTATGAATTGCTTTCTCATCATGAATATAATAAAGTGCATGAATTATTTCATAAGTAATATTAATTCTCTTTTTCCAAGTAAGTTGATTATGATTTTGTTGTAAATATTTTCTTAAATCTATATCCATTTTCATCATTACCAGCATATAATTTCCATTTGATGGATTTTGTGTTAAACCATAACATTGAACAACATCTGTCCATTTGTTACTTATAGTTAAATGTGATTTAGCCTAAATGACAACATGCTATTGTTAATATAAAATACTTAAATTTTACGAATAAATTTATAAATACAATTATACAAACCTCTTCAAACCAACTTTGATTTGCACTTACAACATTTTCTAATTTTTTTAATATTACTTTGAAATTTCCAAATCTTTTTAATTGTTTTTTTTCAGAATCCCATTCATCATAATTTCCATTAATCCAATCTGCCGTATAAATTTCTGAGAATCCACCTTTCGTTAAATATTTAGTATTTTCTAAATTACTATACGGGATCCATTCAATTACCACATTTGGCACAAGTGTTTCCATTTGACATTCCTGTATTAAATTATCAATATCATCATTCCCGGATGTCCAATTTGGAAAATTTTCTTGTAAATAATTTCGAACACAATATTCACAATATAATGTGGCTAAACATTCTTGGTAACAATTTTTACAAATTCTTCTTATACCATCATCGTTCATAACTTTATCTCGATCATAATTTTTAATTAATAATCTTATTGCATAAGTTTTTTCATAATTTGTAAGAATTTTATCAGCAAGGACTGTTTGTTTTTGAAATTCAAATTGTTTGTGTATATCATCGTAAATATCACCATCTGTTAATGTTGTTGCTCTATTATTTGTTGCATAAATTAACTCATATCGAAGAGCGGACATAATGTAATCAATAAGAAAGAAAGAAAGAATTATTTTAAGTTCGTTACTCTGAGCGAAAGGAATCCAATGATATATGGCACAACTTTGTACGATCACTAGATGGACGGCTATTCGATTTTTCAAATTAGTAAAATGCAAATTGTTGATCAAAACTCCCACATAAATTTTGTGACCTCGAGATTACGCCTCATAACCAAAAAAAGAAAAACATTATTATTGCACTTTTACTATATTTAGTATGATAATTTAAAATTTAAAATTTACTTTTTTTTTATTTTTTTTTTTCAGCGAATACAATTTGTGTTTAACAAATTTGATTGTCAAACTTATTGAATAGATAGTCCTTGATTATTGATTAATTTGATAAACAAAATCAATGATTATTTATTGTTATTTTTAAATCTTATTTAAAAAATCAATATAAACATGATTGATGAAAAGTCAATTTAGTTATTTTCAATTGAATTTATTTTAAATAAACAACGTGGCGAATAATGAACATGAAAGATTATAAGAAACCATTCATTTTATTATTTTTACTAAAAAAGTCATATCTAAGAGAAGAATTTCTATAGAATTATAATTATTGTTTTTTTTTAAGATGTAATGATGAATCGCAAATATAGGTTTAAATAAAAATATATGGTTTAATAAAAAAAAATAAGTTTGAATGAAAGAAACGATTACGTCACGATTTAGTGTAATAATAATTATGACACGGTTTTCATGTTACACAATTCAAATTATTTATATGGAGACTATTCTAAACGGCAGCAGATAAAATTTTTTGTTATATAGATTAGAAAAATTCTCATTCACCAATTAAATGAATATTAATTAAAAGGGGGGATTCACCCAATTTGTTCTAATTGTTAACAACGCATGATTGATTATTGATCTTAGAATTATACCCTTCAATTGTTCTAACTGAACTTATTATTTATCAGTTTTCCATTCAAGTAGACCGTTTTTGTTTGCACATTTTGCGACTTTCCATCTACTTTTTCTACAGCTCAAGCACCCTATTCGCATCAAATTCCAAAAAAAGTGGCCAAATTCTTTTAAGCGATTTTCACGCGAAAATCACGTGATATTTGGCCTGAATTATAAATTAGCCATAATTTTAGCCAGCACTAAAATATAACAAATTTCTTTAAGTTGATTTGCGAGTATAGTATGTGATTTCACAAAAGCTATAGCCTAAACTAAACAAGTTCACTAAATAAAATTATTCAGCACTCTCGAAAATGGTTAGAAAAAAGAATTTGAATAATACTTTTTTTTTTGTACTAGAGATTTTGCGAAATAAAAAAAAACTTATAAAAAATATAAGTGAAGTTTATGGCGCAACATTAAGTTATTTGATGTGAAATATTATTATTAAATTAATAGAATCAGCTCAGCTAATAATATAGAATAAAAAGTTAGGGTAACAAGTAACAAATAAAAAATACATATAACTGTGGTGTCGTCGTGTCGAACACTGCGGTGTGAAATATAATTTTTGAAAAAAAAAATTCATTATGTAAAATTTCCTTTATAACTACAAGTTAATAGAATCAACGTTAATAAAAAAAAATATTTTATTTGCTGTATAAATTTGGCGCTATCTATAAGCTCATCAATCATTGGATGAAAGAATAAATATACACATTAACATTTAACAATGATGCAATTTGCAAATCTGTACAATTGTGTAACTCCGGTTAAACGTGAACTATGTGGTTTAAAAAAAATAAAAAAAATAATAATAATTAAATGCGTTTTATTATTATTAAATTCCACTACTATTTAAAAAGTATATATTAGTGATATTACGTAAAATATATAGAGATTTATATAGTAAAATCAATTCTATTTTTAAAAATTTCTTTCATTTGTACTATTGTATGAGTATTGTATGTATCACTACTTTATGTAACAATATCTTCTTTGTTATAGAACAAATAATATATATATATAGTTATAATCTAGCTCTGAAAACTTATGTATTAATCAGCTCGTTTAACGCCTAATAGACTGACATCTTGTTTATTTTTATACAAGAAATTCATTATTTCGCTTTATTTAAAAAAAAGGACTAATTCAATTTTAGATGTCATTTAGCTTTATTTGATGTTATCTATTTTTTTCAAAGCTTGGAGCACAAACTTAATTTTGGATTTGAGTTAGCACCGAGCTAAAGGTGATCTTTTTTTTTATTATTTAAACCCACGAAAATTGGCCACATTTTTCAAAATTTTCGTTGAACAAACTTACAAAATTACATTTATATGTATCCTTTACAAGACAATAATGGTAACAGTGATCACGAATCTAATTTTACTGAGTTCATTAATGAAACAACTGCGACAACTATTACTCATGCGGAAAGTATTAACTGCGGTAATCCTTCTTGTTACTGCAATCGTAGTGACATTTCCGTGGTGAATAATGATTATTTTCCTGCTGCACACGACCAATTTTCTCAATTACAATAATTACAATCAATCTATAACTCAAAGCACATCAAAAAATAATGATATTATTTCTCCCGGCCATAATTATCAGCAACCAACTTTCAATGACTTTTCAAACAATAATTTCAATATCTCTCCTAATAACAAATATCATCAGCAATCCATGTCTTCACCTCGGCAATTCCACTCGCAATATATTGATCAAAATCCGCCTCAAACCAATGTTTTTCCTTCACTTAATTCACCTGGTATTGTTATAAATTCTCCACAAACGTACGTTATTATTATGCCAGTACCGGTAGCTAATCCAGATATTCGTCAACAAGATACTTGCTCGAATTATTCTATCACTGATAGTCAATTTAGACAATAAATTAAAAAATATTTGTAAGTTAAGAATATTGAGGATATTGAGGATTCATTTATTTTTATTTTTTATTTTACTTTTATTTTTGTATCGTTGTATTTCTTTATTCTTTTAGTAATAGTAGATGAGAGTATAATGTATCTACTAGCCAGAACATTTAAATAAAGTATTATTTTATTGTGTTATGGAACTCAATGCTTTTGAACAATTTTCTAAAAGTGTCCTGTAGGTTATGGAAATATCACAGAATTTTACTTATTACAAAATATCATTTTTCTGCTCTCTTTCGATATTGTGCGTAAAAAAAATTAACTTTTGTTTTATAACATTTTAAATATACTTATTTTATCTCTCGATTATTTCGATTATTTAATAATATTTAAATATACTTATTTTATTTCTCGATTATATATAATATTTTAAATATACTTATTTTGTTTATCGATTATTTCGATTATTTAATAATATTTTAAATATACTGTACGTATTTTATTTCTCGATTATTTACATTTACAAGTTTACAATGAAACGGTTACGTCGTGAGTTCCCAAAAACCATTTGCCTGACGTAGTCTTCACTCATTTTTGAGAAAATGTCCTGTTGGTATAATACCATATGTTGGAAATAGTATTCGGTAATTATGTTGTGTCAGACGATCCGTCGTTGTCAAGTAAAAGGTACATCGGGAAAATTATTATCGGTAAGTTGTTGAAATTACGATATTTATATGCAAGTAAAACTTTCATTATAGTCGTCAATCAATAGTTTTGTTTCGAATTGTCATCGGCAAAGAATTTTTTATAAATAATCGATAGAATGTAAAACAAGAATTTATAATAAAGCTACATAAAAAGAAATTAGCCATAGGAATTACTTAGATCATCATTATTACAATCAATAACGAGATTAATGGAATTATAAGCTTGAAATGTCTTTTTTTATAGTTTGATACCCTATAAAAAAATTGGATACGTTTTTTATAAAGTTTTTATACGATTTTTTTTCCTTAGAAATAACGTATCATAATAGGATACGGAAAAATGCACAATTCCGTATCACTAAAAATATGGTTTGGATACAGAATTTGCACGGGATTTATATGGAATTTACATAATTTGATCACTGATTTTATCACTTGTATTACAGTTTACTATAATTGTATTTACACAAATCTAATTTTACTTTATTAAATTAAATAAAAAATAAAAAATAAACAAAGTACAAATACATTATGAAAATTCCCTCCTTATTAAAACCACCTATTGCAACCAAAATTATCTATAAGTTTAGGTTCATTTGGAGTCAAACAACCTAAAAGAACAAAAAAAA